GGACGACTCACTCAAGGGAGAATGAGTGAAACAGCAGAATTTATCTTATCAGTTGGAACAGCAATGTACCCACTTCCCAGGACAGTTGTGAAGATCCAGTGAGATAACTGTGTGCACAGTGTGCAGCGTGGTCCCCGGCACAGAGTCAGTGCTGAGTGAGTGTCAGTGAGTACCTGGCGGGGCAGGTGTGGGTGGTGGGACTTGGTGACTGAGTAAATCCGGGCTGTGAGGGAGGGGTCCAGGCATGTCTGTGAGTGATGAGAGTGAGCCGGGAGACGCAGAGGGACCTCGCCCCCCGACCAGGGGCCCTGGGCAGGACGGCTGTGTGAGGAGCACTGTGAAGTCAGCTCTGCGCAGGTGGAGTTGGAGGTGCCTTTGACACATCTAAGTGCAGTGTCACGAGCTCACGGAGGACTCCTAGGCCCGGGCTGTGCATTTTCCTGTGATCCGATCTGTGAGGACCCCGAGGTATTGATCACTGGGCGTGAAGATGTACTTTACAGGACAAGTGAATAGTAGTATCACCTGTGTCATCAAAACTCACACCTCTTTATTCATCACTTACTTGGCTAATTGGATATTTATGGAGTTCACTTTACTGCCCTTTCCTGGACGCAGTTTCCACAGTAAAGAGCTAGCAAGCCTCCTTCTCTCCCAGGAAGGAGACACACTTAATTGGTAGCCTTCTGTACGTTGCCAGACTTAGAATTTTAGTTTCTTACTTTAATTCTGTGTTATGTTGGCTGTTTCCTGATAAGAGAGACATCTTACCTCGTGGTCACGCTTTGGTTAACTGTTACTGAGAATTGCTGATCCCATCCGCAGTGTGTGTATTTTATTAACCTTGTAGATTATCTTCTCATTTTTCTGGCTTTGCCCTTTAATTTTGTATGTCCCTCCAAGGCTCTGTTCTATTTGGGGCCTTAATTATTTTTTTAATTAAAAAATGTCTATTAGCAATTAAGAAAACAAAAGAAAAGGAAAAATTCAGATGATACGTAAGTTTAGAAAATATCTCGTGTGTTTTCCGTCCTGGCGACACAGGGCTCTAGGACCTATAACAGCCTTCACTGCACAAGTTTCTTTAAAATGCTGGTGAAGAAATAAAACCTTTCTTTCTCATCTTTCAAGCTGCATAGCTAATTGGCAAGAAAATGAGGGGAAATACTCAGTAGGCAAGACAAACCGGAAAGCAGGAGTTCTGGGAGGTAAGTGAGCCCTGGAAGCCACCGGGTGCCGGCTGGCTCCTGAACTGGGTTTCAGTTGCCCTGACAGGAGGGCAGGAGGTGAGCCCCGGGCCTCTCACACTGGGAGTTGGGTGGCCGATCCCGTGTAGGCCAAGACCCGCCTGAGGAGCCTGGTTTACTAAAGGGTGAACTAGAAAAAAATCCTACTCCTCGAAACAAGAAAGTAAGGAATCTCTTGATTTTTGTTGGAAGGGAGAAAAATCCAAAGCAGACCAAACCGAGGGTTTAGTTTAAAGCTGCTCTGGCGTGAGAGTGACCACAGACTCCTGGCAGAAAAGCACGGCTCCTTCTGGAACGAGCAGTTGTGTTTGGAATGAATCAGTGAACAGTCAATACGAAAAAGGCCCCCAGGGGCTCCTGGGTCACGATGTTGGAACCCAAGCACACCAACCTTGCCTCTCCTCCAAGGTCTCACTTAAATAACCAAAAGGATTTTTAAAGGAAAGAAGCCATAATCATAATTCTGCCTATTGATATTACTGTATGCTAGGAATTCAGAGGTGACTGGAGCTGTCTTCTCTTTTATGGACCTTGCTTTCTGTTTGGAGACACACCTACGACACTTGGGAGCTTGGTGGAGGGAGGTGTGGGTCTGTTGCAGTCAGCCAGGAGAGATTAAGAAGGCAGTGCAGGGTGGGGACAGTCTTGTTCTTGGCTGGCTTTTAATTGCAGGCTCGATGAGTTGTCATTGGAGGGAATAGCTCTCTGGAGGATGGACTCAGGACTCTTCAGAATGGAAAGGTGAACCCCGAGAAAGACAGTCAAACCTGTGCAGTCATTAAAGTGCACATGAACGTGCCCCGTCCCTGAGCCAAAGATGGGACAAGTAGGCAGCAATTCTTGAGGCCTGAGGAGCTGGTTTTTAAGGTTCTCCTAGAATAAATCCCAGGTAACCGGGTTGACCAGCAGTCAAACTGTGACTTTGCTCTTCGGACGGCATGCCCACCAAGGATATTGACCATTTATAGTTTTCATTTCTCGTTAACGTGTGTCAGGTGATGAGTGCGTGAGTGCAGGAGATTAACACCTGGTCGAAGTGCCTTTTAGGTGCCTGCCTAGGAGCGCTGGCACAGCTGCTGCTGCGTCACACGTCTCGCCATCCATCCCACTCCCCGGCCCGGCGATCTCGGCAGAGTGACTCATTACCAGCTTGTCCGTCTCCTCCATGACCTCATAACCCATGAAGGGACTGGATCTTATTTAACTTGGTTTTGTTTTTTTCCCTCCTTCTCTTTGAATGATTACAACTGAAGGTGGATCCAGTTACGTTAGCAGATGTTTTACAAGTAAGGCCCTCGGTACAAACCTTGTAATCCTGCTTTGCAGTCTAGGAAAGAAAATTACATTCTTTGCAAACTGTTTTGATACACATATGTGGAAAATCGGTGTAATTTTGAATATGAGAATGCTGGGACCACTGTTTGTTTTCTCTCTCCCAACATCTTTTACCTTATTTGGCAACAAGGGGTGCAGTCAAAGGCCTGGCAGTTTCCAGGTTTGTGAGAAAGGCATGCAGGACTTCGGCCTCTCCTGTGTAGCTCTCCTCAGTCCTCTGCCTGTGCCTGGCACCTCACTGCACTGGCTCCTCTCTCTGCAGCTGTTCTGTGCTCTCCTGGGAAGCAGAGGCTGTGTCCTTCTCAAAGTGGCATATCCACGAGTCCTCTACCTAAACATAAAACTTCTAGAAAAAAACATGAAGATTATGTTTGGGACCTTGGGGTGGGCCAAGGTGTCTTAGATAAGGACACAGAAAGCATTAACCATAGAAAAAAAATTTATACATTGAGCTAATCCACAATTTCTGCTTATCAGAAGACCCCCTTTGGAAAACAAATGGCAGCAGACTGGGAGAAGACATTTATACATGACTAAGGACTTACATGCAGAACATATAAAGAGCTACAACTCAGTAATACAGATGACCTAATTAAACAGTGATCTGGAGGTCTGAACACTTTGCGAAGGAAGATCCGGAAGTAGCCAGTCATCTTGTGAAAAAGTGTTCAGCCTCGCCAGCTGTCAGGGAGACTCAAATCAGAGCCCCTGACTGGCTAAACGGAGAAAGACTGCTGACGTCAAGTGCCGGCGAGTGTGTGCAGCGGCGGTGATGCCCACGCACGGATGTGTGCGTGTGAAATGCTGCTGCCGCCCAGGCAGACGTGAACAGGGCTGGACAGGAGAGAAATGACACTGTGGGGTCCAGAGTGGTTCTGAGAACTTCAGGCAAGAAGCGGCAGCTGCAGGGCGTGGGGACGGGGCTGTTGAAGAGGCAGCCTCCGAAGGGACCTTTGAAGGAGTCAGACCTGGAAATGCAGGGGAGGGGTGGCAGGAAGAAGACAGCCAGCCAGCCAGGAGCTGAAGTGGGAAGCCCAGGATTTCCGGGTTCTACCTGGGGCATCTCTGCCTGGTCAATTCCTTTTTATTCCCTAGGTAAAGGGTAGTCTGCCCTCAGGGTACATTTCATCATGGTTTCATGGTAGAGTCATGGTTTCATTTCTTTATTCACTTATGTGCTGTCGTCTTCCCTGAGGGCAGGGGTCTTTGCCAGTTTTGTTCCCTGCTGTGTCCCCAGCCACAGCTGTGGTGGCCACAGAGAAGGCATTCAATAAACATGTGTTGACAGAATGAGAAAACCCATGAATTAGAGCGGTTCCATTTGGACAGGTCAGAGGTCGGCAGTGGGACCTAGAGTCACACAGACAGAGTGGGGCTCACTCAGGAGGGCCTGGCGTGCCGAGGGCATTTGGGTTCCATGGTGTAGTTCCGAGGGGGTTCTGAGCATCTCTGAGATGGGGTGATGGGCTCTGCACCGCGCCTCAGGACTGCTTGTCTGGCAGCTGCGTGTGGACAGGTTAAGGAAGGAGAGAGAGCTGGGAGGAAGACGACTGAGATGAGGCTTCTAGGTGGGAGCTCATGAGGGCCCAGGGCGGGCGTGGCAGTGGGCGTGGGGAAGAGGGGTGGATGGGAGGGCTTCCGGACGATGCTTCTGTGCAAGCTGTGCTTCTGTTCACACAGAAACATCTGGGAAACACATATTTTGTCAGGGATGTGAGAGAGTTAACGGCCCCCTTACATAGGGTGGCCTTGGTGGCAGCGGGGTTCTGGCTGTCCCTCCTCTGGAAAGGTAGCTGCGCGTGGGGAGGGGGCACCGGGCGGTAAGCAGAGCCCCACCCCAGACTCAGGTCTTGCCCCGGACACTCACTGGCTGTGGGGTTTGTCCAGGATGGTAATACCTCCCTGAGTTTCAGATTTCTGCGCCTGTGAGCTGGGGTGGTGACAGTTTCTGGGATTATTGCAATGATTCAGTGAGGGGCACTGCGTTTGCTGGCATGTGGTTGGTGCTTAAAAACAGAAGTTGTTACCATCATGTCAGTCTGTTACTGTATATTCTGTGTTTTGAGAAGTTGGGTATTTGATGAAAGTTCTGCCCAAGCCCTGGGGTCTGCATGAGCTGCTGTTCCTTTCCTTTCCCTTCCTTTTCCTCTTTCCTTTCTCTGCATCTCATGTGTAGGAGGCAGATTCCTTTGTTTCAGGGAATACAGGCTGGAGAGGTGGGGCCCAGAGGGGCTTGGAGCTTCATTGTGGCGCTGCTTCCCTGCGTTTCTGGATCCGGCCCCGTCGGCGCGCTAACTCGACCTTCCTCTTCCTCCCTGTGTCACCGGGCCTCTGTTTAATGGACAGGCCTTTTCCACGTGTCCTTTTTCGCTGGCAAGTCTCTTTCAGATGCTTGTTGCTTTTCTCCCTGTGCTCCAGCTGTCCGAGGAGGAGAAGATTCAGCGGTACAGCGTCCTCTCCGAGCTCTACGAGTTGATCGGCTTCCACCGCAAGTCCGCCTTCTTCAAGCGCGTGGCCGCCATGCAGTGCGTGGCCCCCAGCATCTCGGAGCCCGGCTGGAGGGCCTGCTACAAGCTCCTTCTGGAGACGCTCCCTGGCTACAGTCTGTCGCTGGATCCGCAGGACTTCAACAGAGGTGCTGGAACTAAAATGTCATTTCAGCCCTGCGAGTCGTGCCTGGCTTGGGCCCTGGGCTGCCTGTCTAATCAAGGTGCATTCGGATTCGTGTAGAGCAGGGCTCAGCAGACTTTTTCTGTCCAGGGCTGGGGAGTGAGTATCTCAGGGTCTGGGTCCCGGGTCTCTGGCGCAGCTGCTCGGCCCTGCTGCTGAGACGCGGGAGCGGCCAGGCCGTCTGCAGGCCGGCAGCTACACTCATGGCAGCAGCCGGGCTGGACTTGGTGTGCGGGCTGCAGTTTGTCCCCACAGCCTCCCTGTCATCGACACCCGCACCGGTGTGTGCGTTTGCTGCAGTGGGTGAACCCGCGCTGACATGTCGTCATCACCCAGAGCCCATACTTGACAGCAGGGCTTCCTCTTGGTGCTGTGCACTCTGTGGGTTTGGACAAGTGCACAATGACATGCGTCCACTGTTACAGCATCACACAGAGCAGTTTCCCTGCCCTAAACATGCCTGGCTCCCCCTTATTCATCGCTCTTTCCCCTCTAACCTCTGACAGCCACTGATTTTTCGGTCTGTATGGTTTTGCCTTTTCCAGAGTACCATACAGTTGGGATCATACAGTTGCATGGCCTTTTCAGATGGTCTCCTTTCACTTAATGATGTGCGTTTAAGGTTCCTCCATGCCTGTTCATGGCTTCATAGCTCATTTGTTTTTAGTGCCGAATAATAGTCCATTTTCTGGCTGGACCATAGTTTATTATATTTATCCATTCACCTACTGAAGGGCATGTTAGTTGCTTCTAAATTTTGGTGATTATGAAAAGAGCTGCTATTAACATCTATGCGCAGATTTGTGTGTGGACGTAAGTTTCCACTTCATCGAGTAAACACCAAGGAGTGGAGTTGCTGGATCATATGGCAGGAGTACGTTTAGTTTTGTAAGAAACTGCCGGACTGTCTTCCAAAGTGTCTGGACCATTCTGCATTCCCACCAGCGGTGAATGGGAGCTCCTGTTGCTGCACATCCTTACCAGCCCTGGGTGTCGTCAGTGTGGTGGCTTTTGTCTGTTCTAGTAGGTGTGCAGTGGGACCTCGTTGCTTTCATTTGCATCCCCTGATGACCGGTGATGTGGAGCATTTCTTCATGGACTTCTTTGGCATCTGGATATCTTTTTTGATGGGGTGTGTGTTCAGGCCTTTTGCTCATCTTTTAATAGGGTTGTTTATCCTTCTTGTTGAGTTTTGATAGATCTGGGGTATTTTGGGTACCAGCCCTTTATCAGTGTGCCCTGCCCTTCACCTGCTCCACCACAGTTGCCCTTTGGGTCTTGGCAGAGCGTCAGCTCTTCGAAGAGGTCCCCTGTTGTCCTTCAGCCTAAATGTAGTCCTTGTCTTTTTCTCTTTCATTGACTCCTGTTGTTCTTTTTAGATAGCATTTCCCATAATTTGTAAGTACATTAAAAAAAACTGGGCGATGACTTAATGGCGCCTCCCCCACCAGGCTGTGTGCACTGTGAGAGCAGAGACCCTGTGCCCATTCACTGTGTCCCGAGCTGGCACACGGCAGGTGTCCACGTACGTATGTGTAACATGGGGCCAAACCCGATGAGCAGCTACAGTGACCTGTGTTGGCTGCCATTTATTGAAAAGAGTTTGTTTCGTGATCTTAATTTGTAAATCACGTGAAGAAAACATGTTTCTTTTGAAAAGTAAAATGACAAAGCACACCTCCGCGTGACTTGGTGCTTTCTGCTTAGCCTCCTGATCCGGGAGGGGGCGCTCCCATCATTCTGTGAAGGAGGCTGGGCGGGGGGGGAGGCAGGAGAGCGAGATCAAATAAAGTAAAAACGGTAACTCGCAGCTGGCTGCGTTTCCAGTAAGACGTAAAAGCTGCTTTAGAGCCCATCTCCACTGTTGCCCTGGGCCTCTTTAAACATTTCTCAGAGAACTAAATGGCAGTCCACTAAACCCTGAAAGGGAAATTGTGTTCTCAGGACCTGACATATGTCTCTGGCTATTTCTTGAAGTGGACGTTTCCCGCTGGTTACGGAAAGTCAAGGCTGGACACAGACGGGCACTGTGTGTGTTTGCCAGCTTTGCGGGCTGCTATTGGTCATTCTTGTCTTCTTGTGTTGCTGTGTGTGAAAGTTTTCGATCAGTCCTTTTGCTCAGCCTTGCCCTGAACAAGGGATTGACTTTTCTGCAGGAACTCGTGTGAAAGAGACCGACAAGGCACATGGGTTTGCCAAAAAGTAATAGTTGATGTAATAAACGCTCACGCTGGTGAAGTTTTTGAATACAAGAGAGTTGAAAATTTTATCACTAGGCCATATGCTGCAAATCTGTCTTAAGAATAAAAAGATTCAGATTTTATAGGAGGAGCAGTTTGAATCACAAAGAAGTTACGATTTGTACACTATTTGGTGTTAAGAAAATTTATCCTCAGTCTTATCATAATTGCCTGTGGTAGGGAAATCTACAAAGTGATATTTGGCCCATTCTTGATATGGTGGTGATGAGGTTAAGCTGAGTCGTTGAGAATTCTGGGCTAGGTTGTCATGGCATTGATTTCAGCCTCTTCATCTTCTTTAGAATTTCTTACTTCCTTTTGACCTGTGGTCTTCTGATGACGTGGACTTACTGTGGGATCTTTGCCTCCTTTCCTGTCATTGTCGGAAGAGATTTCTGTAAGGCAGACTACTAGGACATTAAGGTTTTTGTGTGGGGGTAGGTTTGGTCAGCTCTAAGGATTTCAATCAATAAGTATTAATAATTGCTATTCAGTTAATAATTTAAAAATTATTATAAAATAATTTAAATATACACAAATTAGAAAGAACAGTACCATGAGCCCACCACCCAGGTTAAGGCATTTACAAGTTTTGCTGTATTTCCTTCATTCATATTCTTCCTTTTTCTTTAATTCGTCCTTTGTTGAAGTATTTTACAGCAAATCCCAGAAACCATGTCATTTTATCCTCCGTACTAGAGTAGGCATGTCGGAAAAATGGGGGCCTTTTCTTTCATCGGGTTTTCAACTTGACCCCTGTGCTTGTTAAGTACCAGCCATGTCAGACATCTCACTAGGCATTAGGGATACTTGGGTGAGTGAGACACAGCCCTGGCTCCCAAGGAAGTTAAGGACTGATGGAAGAAACAAACACAGGAGCTTATGTGCCTCATGGCACCTGCTGGAGGATGCCTGTGGGACAGAGTATGTGCACGATACAGTGGGATTCACAGAAGGGACTGGTCAGCCTTTTAGGGCGGGCGGTGGAAGAGGTGGTCAGTAGGGCTACGAGAGTCTGAAATCCTTTCTGCTCCAAGCCCCAGGGGCCCTGGACTCACAACCCTGTGCGGTAACTGTTTTTGATTCCTGTTACCACGTCTCCCTCAGGAAGGATTTTAAGGTGGAAAAATTTTAAGAGCAGTAATTGTTGCCAGAAGGGACATGGAACAAGAAAGTCTAAAGATCCTGTGATCTGAAAGAGATCCTTTTCGATGGTTGTGAACCAACTTCCCCACCTCTGATTTTGAACACGGGCTTAGTTATTTTGGAGGGAGCAGCCGTGCAAGTTTGTTGGTAACTTTTTCTTTTTCTCTTTCTCTTTCTTTTCTTTCTTTCTTACTTCTTCTTTCTTACTCTTTCTTCCTTTCTATTTAGCTATTTACTTTTCTTGTATTTTAGAGAAATGCTGTGCTGTTCAGTTTCATGACTTTGGTTGTTGATAATGAAATCCCAGCAGATATCAGTATTCTTTTGAAAAAAAATTATGTTATAATACAAATACATGCCATTGAAAACATAATCTTTTGTTCTAACCTCACAATTATTTCAAACTGAGTTATTTTTGAAATTGTACCTTTGCAGAAGAGAATATAGTATATAAAACCTTTTTAAAAACCGTGTGAACAAACATCCCTTAAGCATTCTTTTCCGGGGTACACAGGGGAAGTGCTTTTGTTGCCCTTTGGGTTTGATAGTGGAGGCATTTGTCCTGACATCACTGAGTTGCACACATCAGACGTGGTTCCAAAAAGGATCTCGGCCCCGAGGCGCTGCTGCAACGTTTTGATGTCTTGTGCGTTCTGCTGCAGGCATGCACCGAGGCTGGGCTGCCGTCCAGATGCGTCTGCTTCATGAGCTGGTCTACGCCTCGCGGAGGATGGGGAACCCGGCTCTCTCGGTCAGGCACCTGTCCTTCCTGTTACAGACCATGCTGGACTTCTTGTCAGATCAAGGTGAGTGGCTTCAAACTCTGTTCTTGCCGCAGGCCCCCATCGACACTGGCCCGTGGAGGCGGTGGTGCTCCCAGCTCCCCGCTGCAGAGTGGCTCCCTGTCCCCCACGTCCTCCCCTCCCTGGCCACTCTCAGCACACACCACCGCTCTGCTTGCTGCTCTCAGCCTCCTGCGTGGGCTCCCCTTGCCTTGGCCTGCATTTTATAAAACATCAACGTCCAAGTGTAATTTTTAGGTGGAGAGGTGCACAGTTCACATGAACTCTGCTCAGTGAATTGTCATAGTGAGCACGTGGTACCTAACTCTAGGCCCCTCTCTGCCCCTTCTGGTCACTACTCCCCTGAGGGCAGCTTCTGTCTCCACTCCTGAGGGGCCGTGCGTGTCTGTGCCCACATGTCGGTCCTCCGTCAGCTTCTCTCCTCATTAGCAGTCTGAGTGCCTCCTGACCCAGGGTACTGGGCAGCTCCTGTTCAGTCTGGCTCTGTTCTCTCGGCACCACCCCGCCCCGACACTCCTCACAGGCAGGTGCGTGTAGTCTCATGGGCTGCCCCCTCTTCCCTGAGTGCTTCCCCTCCCCCTGCCTCATCTGCCATCTCGGACTTTTCCCCACAAATACACATCTTCCTGCAGAGGGCCTATGCACCCTCCCCTCCCTGTCCCCGGCTCCTTGTCAGCAAACTCCTGGGGTCTGGACTTGCTCTTGGCAGCCTTGTATGCGTCCCAGGGGACCAGTCCTCCCACGGTGTGGTCTCGTCCCTTGTGCGCTGACGGTCAGTGCCCGCCCTCCCTGTGGAAGCGTCACAACAGAAGGATCTTGCTGGTTATTTGAGGTCATACTAATTAGTGATCTAAAGGCACTGGGTTTAGAAGGAGAGAAACTGGGGACATCTGACCCTGTTGAACAAGCACTGTTTCCATAAAGGCCTGTGTATAGTGGTGTTGGGTTAATTGGAGTCTTCCGAGGAAAGGACAGAAGTCGGGAGGACGAAGGGTCCTGGCCACTAACCCCACCTCTGATTCCGTAACCTCAGATGGGTGATTAAATTCTTCCTGGCCTCCCTCTTCTCCTTTGAACAACTGGGATGTTACAGACAGTGTGGCAGTTTATTATTATTTTAATGATAGATATTTTAATTGATTGGGTGACCTTTCTCCTGGAGAGCTCATGGTACCACTCACAGAGCTGATGATTAACCTTTCTAAGTATGGCTGCAGTGAAATGAAATATGGAACAGAGGAGCAGCCAGGAGAGGGGAAAAATGACTCTGGGCGCGAGGAGGGGCTTGCTAGCCGTCTCCTTGCTGTAAACCGTCTGGCTGTTTGTGGGTGGAGACGGCGTACTCTTGGGGTGTTCTCGCCCTTCCTTGCACCATGTAGCCCCTTGACTGTGTGCAGACAACGTGCGAATCCAGAGACAAGTTAGGAGACCGACTATTGACATGGAAAGGCTCTCGGTTCCCCAGGACGGTCCTCAGTTTTGGCAGATGGACGTACCAACTTGAAGATTTATGGGCCTTGCTTTGGAGGTGCCCGTGTTACTTCTTATGGTCATCGGCGTGGGGTCATCTCTGCTGAGGCGTCCTGACTGGGGTCTGGGCACGAGCTTCTGTGGCATCGTGGCAGGAGACCGATGAGCTCCTCGGGTGGTGAATGCAAACCTGGTCCTGCGTGCTGCACCGGGAACACCGGTGACGCTCTCCAGCCCCGGCCTCTCTGCTCTCGGATCCCTGGTGGTCTGGCCACCAGGTGCTGCCAGTTCTCCAAACACAGCAGCAGGTCTAGCCTGTGGCCTTGGCACCTGCTGTCCTGCCTGCCCTCCGTGGCCGCTCCCAAGTGCCCCAAAGTGAAAACACCATTCACCAGTGTCCATCGATCAGTGAATGGGTCAGAAAGTGTGGCGCATCCACCTGGATGTCTCTCCTCTTCCCCGTCCCTTCTCCCTGTCCGTGTTCCTCCCTTCCTCGGGCTGGCGTCCTCCATCCTTCACATCTCAGTGTAGATGCCACTTCCGCTGTTTCCGGTGATGCCTTGCTTGGTCCCTGAGGTTCCTTGCAGTGTTCTTGCTGGAGCACGTGCTGACCCCTCGAGCACTGTCGCCCATGGGTTTCATCGCTTATTTAATTGACAGGCTCCCCAGCAAGGCTGCAAGCCCTCTGAAGGCAGGGCTCTGTCTGACTTGCTGTTTTTCCTGTTCCTGCCACCTCGTGGCAGGTGTCGGCATCCATGTATGGCTGTTTGCTTTAATAATAAATGCTTTCTTTTCCTTTCTCAAAAACAACTTTATTGAGATTTAATTCACAGACCACACAATTTGCCCGTTTAAAATGTGCACTTCAGTTTTTCAGTAGATTCAAGAAATGCGCGCCTGTCACCACAGGCAGTTTTACGTTTCATCACCTCAGAAGGAAGCCCGTGCCTTGCAGCTGGTTGAGGTGCGTGCTGGTGCTTAGCTCCTTGTTGGGCGCATTCGTAACAAGTACTTTCTTTCATTTTCATTCTCTCTTCTGGGCTCACCGGTGCTGCTTTTGAGGACGCCGTGGCGTCCTCAGGCCTTTGCTGTCTGAGCAGGAGAGACTCTATCAGGAACGGGGTTGTTGGGTCAGCCGTGGGGACCGTTGTCGCTGCTGCTGAAACACGCTGGAAATTGCCTTCTAAAGGATTGCCCTAATTACAGCGCCAGCAGCGGTGCTGCGGATTCAGCAAGTAGAGAATGCTGCCTTATTGTTTTAATTTGTATTTCCTGGGTAGCTTGCAAGGTTGGGTATTTTTCCTGTGTGCCTGTTTACTAATTGTGCCTCCTTTATGTGAAACTCTTTTCCAGCCTTCTGGGTGCTTCCCTGTCTCTCGCTTCATTTGATTCTCATTTCTTGGGAGGCAGAGGGTGTCCAGGCCTCCGTGCTGAGGTTTGTAGCACTTTGAGATGCTAATTAAGTCCTTTGCCCAAAGTCTCCCCATTATTCAGGGCAAAGCCAAGCCTAGAACCCAACATTTAGCCCTGGTCCCAAGGATGTGTACGTTGTCAGCTAAAACACATTCTGTTCTGTGACATACCTGATGGTGTGCATCAGGCTTGCAAGAGTTCAGACATCTCCCCAAAGGGCTTTGCTTGTTTCTGAACTAAAGCTGAAAGTTGCAGGAAAATCTGTCTTAAACATTTTATGATAAATCTCCTCAGCATACTTTGTGATTAGAAACTTGCTGGAACTTTGAGAAATGTAAAATTGCAGAGGGTTATCTCAGACCAACACGTGTGCAGTTAACAGATGGTAGGAAGCTCCCTGCGATGGACCCACACTGTCCGTCCTTTTGTTTCTTGAATATGTCAAGTCTTTGTTTCCTTTTTTTCCCTCCTGTCTCAGAACATCGGTAAAGCTCTCACCCCTGCTTTCACGTGGCCATTCTTCCTGTCTCTGTCCCGTGGTGGTCTCTGCAGGTGGCCTCCCCGTCCGCCTCTCTCTGCATTTTCTAGTAGTGTCCTGACTCTTCTTCAGGGTGGGCAGTTTTGGAGGAGTTGACCCACTCTCGATGGTTGATTCTATGATTCCTCTCCCGATAAATCCCCTCTGGGAAAGTCAGGCCCCTCGGGGCCATCAGGGCAAGTTACCGGCCGAGAAGCTGAACTGCCTGGGAGCAGAGGGGTTTCCTCTCGTCTGCTGCATTCGTGTGGAGGAGCGTGAAGCCCCACGGCTGCTGGTGCCCACCCTGGGTCATGTGGAGAAGAGTCTAGAACTTCTCCTTCGGGGTCGTCTCCACCCTGTCCAGCGCCCCCCCAGCTGGAACGTGCTGTCCAAGAGAGCAGTGACTGCTTTGCTCACTGCATGTTCGTAGCGCCTAGAATGGTCGTAGGTGTGTGGGAAGTATTTGTGGAGTGAGCGACCACAGTGATCAGTGACACTCAGGAAATGCTGTAGGAGGGGGACGGGACGCCAGGGCCCTTGCTTGGAAGGTGCGTTTCAGTAAAACTTGCCCTAAGATCATAGTTTGAGTGATGTCGACCAAGCGACAGGAACCGTGAGGTGGCTCATCCCTCCCGCTTTCCCCACCCCCTGCCCCTGGCCAGACTGTTTGTGTGGGTTTGGTCCTAAGGAAACCCAGAAGAGGGAAGAGATTGGATCTTCCGGGGAGGGTGAGAGAGCTTTCATTAGGAGGCGGGATGTGCTGGGACCGCCCCGGGAGTGAGCAGGTTTTAGCACACGGTAAGGGAGAGGCGGAGGGAACGAGTTTTGGGGGAAAAAGGCGTGTGTGGGAAAGAGATGGTGTGTTGCTGTGCTCGGGCTCAGGGACTAGGCTCAGTCCGAGACCTGGATCTCCTGCTCCTTTGGTTTGTGACAGTGCCTGCCAGGGAACTGATCCCATCTGTAAGATGGAAACAAAGGCCCTTTCAAAGGATCTGTATGTCCACAGGAGGGGTCCTGGCGTTGCTTCTCTGACATCCCTGTGCTCTTGGGCCACCAGGCTGTTGAAGGTCAGAGCTGAACAAGACCCCTTGCAGAGGTGAGCACTGAGGTCCCACCCGGTCAGTGGCCTGTCCCAGTCTCACAGCGAGTGGCAGAACAAGCCGGACCCCTGGCCTCTCAGCTCCTAATGTGGGAGGGGGAGGGGGGCCACTTGCCCTGACACCTCTCAGCGGAGATTTGCTGAGCTGCCCCGTGAGTGACTGCTCCCTTGTAGTCACTGAAGTTGCTGATGGCGTGTTCGAGGCAGCCTTGCGCTGCTGCCCCCTGGTGTTGGGATGATGACACATGTATTTCATCAGAGGGGAAAAGCACTCACTGAGCTTGGAAGCGATTTCAAGATAGCCTGGCGTCACCTCCTTTGCCTTTTTGTCGTCTGCCTCCCTCCTCACTGGAGCACGAGCTCCCTGGGGCGGGGCTCTGTCTGTCCTGATCAGTCTGTACCCGGAACGGTGAGGGCAGGGCTCAGTGTTTGTCTGCTCACCATCCAGGTGGGGAAGTTGTTTAACTTCTCTGCACCTCACTGTCCCCATTTGTGTAAAGGGGA